TGTCCTTCTTACCTTCAGACCTTACGTTCACCTAATAGAGGTCAAATTCTCCCCAAAACGTTATCATTTATTATCATAAGCAGAATCTTACCTGTTTTGTTTAAAAGTAAGAAAATATTTCATATGCTATCAGAATTGGATTACTGTTTTAATGATTTGTCATTAATGTAAGTTTTCAAAAGTAAATATTCTACAATTCAATTTGGAGTTGGAAAGATATCCCCAACTAACCCTTCTTTGTCATTAATGTAAGATTTTTGTAATAAATGTAAATATTCTACAATTACACAATTTATCAAGTTCCTCACCAGACCAGCACACAGTCCTATCAAGGTTTCTTGTTTATTTAATCCTAAATCCTTCCTCACCAGACCTGAACACAAAGTCCTATCAAGGTTTCTTGTTTATCTTATCCTAAATCCTTCCTCAGCAGACCAGCACACAGTCCTATCAAGGTTTCTTGTTTATTTAATCCTAAATCCTTCCTCACTAGACCTGAGCACAAAGTCCTATCAAGGTTTCTTGTTTATTTAATCCTAAACCCTTCCTACACACACCAGATCACCAGACCAGCAACACAAAGTCCTATCAAGGTTTCTTGTTTATTTAATCCTAAACCCTTCCTCACCAGACCTCAACACAAAGTCCTATCAAGGTTTCTTGTTTATTTAATCCTATCAAGGTTTCTTGTTTATTTAACCCTTCCTCACCAGACCACACAAAGTCCTATCAAGGTTTCTTGTTTATTTAATCCTAAACCCTTCCTCACCAGACCTGAACACAAAGTCCTATCAAGGTTTCTTGTTTATTTAATCCTAAACCCTTCCTCACCAGACCTGAACACAAAGTCCTATCAAGGTTTCTTGTTTATTTAATCCTAAACCCTTCCTCACCAGACCTGAACACAAAGTCCTATCAAGGTTTCTTGTTTATTTAATCCTAAACCCTTCCTATCAAGGTTTCTTGTTTATTTAATCCTAAACCCTTCCTCACCAGACCAGCACAAAGTCCTATCAAGGTTTCTTGTTTATTTAATCCTAAACCCTTCCTCACCAGACCTGAACGCAAAGTTCTATCAAGATTTCCTGTTTATTTAATCCTAAACCCTTCCTCACCAGACCAGCACAAAGTCCTATCAAGGTTTCTTGTTTATTTAATCCTAAACCCTTCCTCACCAGACCAGCACACAGTCCTATCAAGGTTTCTTGTTTATTTAATCCTAAACCCTTCCTCACCAGACCTGAACACAAAGTCCTATCAAGGTTTCTTGTTTATTTAATCCTAAACCCTTCCTCACCAGACCTGAACACAAAGTCCTATCAAGGTTTCTTGTTTATTTAATCCTAAACCCTTCCTCACCAGACCAGCACACAGTCCTATCAAGGTTTCTTGTTTATTTAATCCTAAACCCTTCCTCACCAGACCAGCACAAAGTCCTATCAAGGTTTCTTGTTTATTTAATCCTAAACCCTTCCTCACCAGACCTCAACACAAAGTCCTATCAAGGTTTCTTGTTTATTTAATCCTAAACCCTTCCTCACCAGACCAGCACACAGTCCTATCAAGGTTTCTTGTTTATTTAATCCTAAACCTTCCTCACACAAAGTCCTATCAAGGTTTCTTGTTTATTTAACACAAAGTCCTATCAAGGTTTCTTGTTTATTTAATCCTAAACCCTTCCTCACCAGACCAGCACAAAGTCCTATCAAGGTTTCTTGTTTATTTAATCCTAAACCCTTCCTCACCAGACCAGCACACAGTCCTATCAAGGTTTCTTATTTATTTAATCCTAAACCCTTCCTAACCAGACCAGCACAAAGTCCTATCAAGGTTTCTTGTTTATTTAATCCTAAACCCTTCCTCACCAGACCAGCTCAAAGTCCTATCAATGTTTCTTGTTTATTTAATCCTAAACCCTTCCTCACCAGACCTCAACACAAAGTCCTATCAAGGTTTCTTGTTTATTTAATCCTAAACCTTCCTCACCAGACCTCAACACAAAGTCCTATCAAGGTTTCTTGTTTATTTAATCCTAAATCCTTCCTCACCAGACCAGCACACAGTCCTATCAAGGTTTCTTGTTTATTTAATCCTAAATCCTTCCTCACCAGACCAGCACAAAGTCCTATCAAGGTTTCTTGTTTATTTAATCCTAAACCCTTCCTCACCAGACCAGCACAAAGTCCTATCAAGGTTTCTTGTTTATTTAATCCTAAATCCTTCCTCACCAGACCTGAACACAAAGTCCTATCAAGGTTTCTTGTTTATTTAATCCTAAATCCTTCCTCACCAGACCTCAACACAAAGTCCTATCAAGGTTTCTTGTTTATTTAATCCTAAACCCTTCCTCACCAGACCTCAACACAAAGTCCTATCAAGGTTTCTTGTTTATTTAATCCTAAATCCTTCCTCACCAGACCAGCACACAGTCCTATCAAGGTTTCTTGTTTATTTAATCCTAAATCCTTCCTCAGCAGACCAGCACACAGTCCTATCAAGGTTTCTTGTTTATTTAATCCTAAACCCTTCCTCACCAGACCAGCACACAGTCCTATCAAGGTTTCTTGTTTATTTAATCCTAAACCCTTCCTCACCAGACCAGCACACAGTCCTATCAAGGTTTCTTGTTTATCTTATCCTAAATCCTTCCTCACCAGACCAGCACACAGTCCTATCAAGGTTTCTTGTTTATCTTATCCTAAATCCTTCCTCACCAGACCAGCACACAGTCCTATCAAGGTTTCTTGTTTATCTTATCCTAAATCCTTCCTCACCAGACCAGCACACAGTCCTATCAAGGTTTCTTGTTTATTTAATCCTAAACCCTTCCTCACCAGACCAGCACACAGTCCTATCAAGGTTTCTTGTTTATTTAATCCTAAACCCTTCCTCACCAGACCAGCACACAGTCCTATCAAGGTTTCTTGTTTATTTAATCCTAAACCCTTCCTCACCAGACCAACACAAAGTCCTATCAAGGTTTCTTGTTTATTTAATCCTAAATCCTTCCTCACCAGACCTCAACACAAAGTCCTATCAAGGTTTCTTGTTTATTTAATCCTAAATCCTTCCTCACCAGACCAGCACACAGTCCTATCAAGATTTCTCGTGGTATTGTTGTTACAGATCCTATTTCCTGCAACTATCAGAGGAGAAAAAAGTGACAGGATGCCATCGATCGATCCAAATCAGTAAAACATTTACATTAATCTGGAGATTATACACTGAGGGAAGCTTCTGCTTGACCAGACTTGGAACACTTCTAATGGGCAACATGAAATGACAAGATGTTTTCCAGCTTATACATTTCACTAAAACGAGAGGAAGAAGGGGAGACACAATCAGATTACCAGACCACAAATAATTGTGTTAATCTTTAAAGTCACACTGGACAGCAAACCATTAGCAATCGTTTTACAGGAATCTGCAGTGAGGTGTATTGTGAACGACCTTATCAGTAGAAAATCAATGACATTATATTTTACATAAATAATGGGAAGTTTTGTTACATGATCTGCACTTATCCCTTCCTACACAAAAGTGAAGCGCCACGCCATGATATTTTTTAGATTTTACCACATTGCCTTTAATGACAGCTTTTGTAGTCCCAGCTTAGACAACAGCTTTTACCATCTTATCTTTAATACTGTCATTTCCCTATCTTAAATAACCCTGTTTTCAATAGCTCCAGCTATTATACTGGCTTCTGTAGTAATCCCCATCTTCAACCTTCAACAACAGCTTTTGTGGTCCCACCTTTGATAATGGTTTTTGTAGCATAAGCTTTAGTAATAGATTTAGTAGCCCCAACTTTAATAATGGCTTGAGAAACCAAACCTTTAATAACATCATTTGTGGTAGATCCATCTTCAACAACAGCTTCAGTAGGCCATTCTTTAACAATGGCCTTTTTACCCCATCTTTAATAATGGAGGAGTAGGATTTAAAAGAATTTACTCTATTTCCCAAACTGGGCCCTGCTACTCCTGCCCCAGAAGGCTGGAATAAACTGGTTCTGCTTCACCCAAGAAAACTTCAGACTAAATTTGGAAAATATCCATTCATCCCTACTTGGTTGGTTGGTTGACAGGTTTTTCATCTCACTGATGAAGGTCAGTGTTCTGGTGATGTGAGGGGGCAAACTGCATCCCCCTCAGTGGAATGAACGTCAGTGTTCTGGTGATGTGAGGGGGCAAACTGTATCCCCCTCAGTGGGATGAACGTCAGTGTTCTGGTGACATTAGGGGGCAAACTGCATCCTCCTCAGTGGGATGAATGTCGGTGTTCTGGTGACGTGAGGGGGCAAACTGCATCCCCCTCAGTGGGATGTAACCATCTGTAGAGGTGATCGTTTGATTTTACTACTTTTAGAAGATGGCTCAGATGGATAATAAGCTGAAAGGAAGAGCTGGGAGCCTATCTAGATTTGGTTTGTTAGGGTAATTTTGAAGTCTGTCTAATGTCTTGAAAATAATTGTATAGGCAGACATTATCCCTAGACTCCTAGACTGGCGTTATCACGTCTACTCATTTTATGAAAAGTTACTGTGGGATCTTTAGCAGGCTAGAGTTGACAACCCCACACAGGAGTAGGATTTCTAAGAACTTACTTTATTTTCCCTACTGGGCCTTGGCCCTCCAGCCCTATGAAGGCGAGACCCACAGTTTATACAAAATTGATTTCCCTTCACAGAACAATGCTTCTGACGAAATTTGGGCAAAATTCTATCATTCCTGCAGGAGGAGAAGGATTTTAAATAATTTTCTCTGTAACCCCTATTGGGCCTTGCCCCTCCGGTCCTTCAAGCCAGGTGAGCTAAAACTTTTTGGTAAAGGCTTTCAAGGCCTGTATTAAATATCAGCATGTCTGTAACAATTTATGCCTGAAATGTTACTTTCCAAAAAAAGACCAACTGACCACAGAGACAACATGCACCTGGAATCCTGTACATTCAGGACAGTTTCTACACCTGTACAATATAATTTTATATACTACTCACCACAAATTTTTCTCCGTTACTTTCCACAGTTTGGTAGTCCGGTATAGATATCGGGAGAGAACGTCGCTCTGAGTAATCTATGTATGAGGGACCTGAGGAATCGTCACTTGGCTCCAACCGCTCAGCTACCTGTTCCGGGACTGATATCACTGCAAACAAATAAAAACATAAAAGTCGATTTTCCAACCCACAAATTCAATTTATCACATTACAAACAAGAACACCAGAAAAAATATTTCTAGAGCAAACAAATTCACTCAAACAACTCAAAAACATAAAAAGACTTTCATTATGAATTCCCCCTGATTAAATTCAAGCTTTAACTTAACAAATGTTTTCAACCACAGGTCTTGTCCAGTGTTAATTACTTTAGATACTGTAATTTGAGCTGGGACTTCCATGTAACTGTTCTTGGTAGTATAACATGAATTCTAAATGGTAAAATTATACATGTAAATAACAAATAACCATACTTATACAGATGTACTTGTAACACATCCACTCCTAAAGTTGAATACATATATCTAAGACTTTTAATATTCCTTTCCATTTTTCTTACCAGCTTTGTAAATTGAAGGGCCTGAATTACTCAATCAATGTACACATTATGAAGTGTAAACATTTCTCAGAAAATTCTATTCAGGTGGCTGTCATCTTTGCTAAGCTAAACATAAAACCTTTCCTTTCAAAATGTTACAGGTAAAATATCATACCTCAATGTCTTATTCTAAAGGAAGACAGCTCAAAACATGTGACCATTTAACCATTGTTATTGTACACAATACATAGTATTGTAGACATTGGACCTACATAGTATTGTAGTCAGTGAGCTACAAAATGTCTTATTCTAAAGGAAGACAGCTCAAAACATGAGACCATTTAACCATTATTATTGTACACAATACATACATAGTATCGTAGACCTACAAAGTATTGTAGTCAGTAAGCTACAAAATATTGAGTGTCAGGATGAGATGTATACCAATGAGTGTCAGGATGAGATGTATGTACCAGTAAGTGTCAGGATGAGATGTATGTACCAGTAAGTGCCAGGATGAGATGTATGTACCAGTAAGTGTCAGGATGAGATGTATGTACCAGTAAGTGTCTGGATGAGATGTAGGTACCAGTAAGTGTCAGGATGAGATGTATGTACCAGTAAGTGTCTGGATGAGATGTATACCAATGAGTGTCAGGATGAGATGTATGTACCAGTAAGTGTCTGGATGAGATGTATGTACCAGTAAGTGTCAGGATGAGATGTATGTACCAGTAAGTGTCAGGATGAGATGTATACCAATGAGTGTCAGTATGAAATGTATCTACCAGTAAGTGTCAGGATGAGATGTATGTACCAGTAAGTGTCTGGATGAGATGTATGTACCAGTAAGTGTCAGGATGAGATGTAGGTACCAGTAAGTGTCAGGATGAGATGTATGTACCAGTAAGTGTCTGGATGAGATGTATACCAATGAGTGTCAGGATGAGATGTATGTACCAGTAAGTGCCAGGATGAGATGTATGTACCAGTAAGTGTCAGGATGAGATGTATACCAATGAGTGTCAGGAGGAGATGTATGTACCAGTAAGTGTCAGAATGAGATGTATGTACCAGTAAGTGTCAGGATGAGATGTATGTACCAGTAAGTGCCAGGATGAGATGTATACCAATGAGTGTCAGGATGAGATGTATACCAATGAGTGTCAGGATGAGATGTATGTACCAGTAAGTGTCAGGATGAGATGTATGTACCAGTAAGTGTCAGGATGAGATGTATGTACCAGTAAGTGTCAGGATGAGATGTATGTACCAGTAAGTGTCAGGATGAGATGTATACCAATGAGTGTCAGGATGAGATGTATGTACCAGTAAGTGTCAGGATGAGATGTATGTACCAGTAAGTGTCAGGATGAGATGTATACCAGTGAGTGTATATACCAATGAGTGTCAGGATGAGATGTATGTACCAGTAAGTGTCTGGATGAGATGTATACCAATGAGTGTCAGGATGAGATGTATGTACCAGTGAGTGTCAGGATGAGATGTATGTACCAGTAAGTGTCAGGATGAGATGTATGTACCAGTAAGTGCCAGGATGAGATGTATACCAATGAGTGTCAGGATGAGATGTATGTACCAGTAAGTGTCTGGATGAGATGTATGTACCAGTAAGTGTCAGGATGAGATGTAGGTACCAGTAAGTGTCAGGATGAGATGTATGTACCAGTAAGTGTCTGGATGAGATGTATGTACCAGTAAGAGCCAGGATGAGATGTATGTACCAGTAAGTGTCAGGATGAGATGTATACCAATGAGTGTCAGGATGAGATGTATGTACCAGTAAGTGTCAGGATGAGATGTATGTACCAGTAAGAGCCAGGATGAGATGTATACCAATGAGTGTCAGGATGAGATGTATGTACCAGTAAGTGTCTGGATGAGATGTATACCAATGAGTGTCAGGATGAGATGTATACCAATGAGTGTCAGGATGAGATGTATGTACCAGTAAGTGTCAGGATGAGATGTATACCAATGAGTGTCAGGATGAGATGTATACCAGTGTCAGGATGAGTGTACCAGGATCAGGATGAGATGTATGTACCAGTAAGTGTCAGGATGAGATGTATACCAATGAGTGTCAGGATGAGATGTATGTACCAGTAAGTGTCAGGATGAGATGTATGTACCAGTAAGTGTCAGGATGAGATGTATGTACCAGTAAGTGTCAGGATGAGATGTATGTACCAGTAAGTGTCAGGATGAGATGTATGTACCAGTAAGTGTCAGGATGAGATGTATGTACCAGTAAATGTCAGGATGAGATGTATGTACCAGTTAGTGTCAGGATGAGATGTATGTACCAGTAAGTGTCAATATGAGATGTATGTACCAGTAAGTGTCAGGATGAGATGTATGTACCAGTAAGTGTCAGGATGAGATGTATGTACCAGTAAGTGTCAGGATGAGATGTATGTACCAGTAAGTGTCAGGATGAGATGTAGGTACCAGTAAGTGTCAGGATGAGATGTATGTACCAGTAAGTGTCAGGATGAGATGTATACCAATGAGTGTCATGATGAAATGTATGTACCAGTAAGTGTCAGGATGAGATGTATGTACCAGTAAGTGTCAGGATGAGATGTATGTACCAGTAAGTGTCAGGATGAGATGTATGTACCAGTAAGTCTCCGGATGAGATGTATGTGTTAGAGTGTGAAATGTACACCCTACTAGGTGTGATAAATGAAATGTGCATTGCTGTAAGAGTGGGAGAAGGAGGTGTTTGTGAGGATGAGATGTACATACCTGTAAGAGTAAGATAAATATACCTGTGAGTGAGATGTGTGAGTCAAATAAATATACCTGTGAGTGAGATGTGTGAGTCAAATAAATATACCTGTGAGTGAGATGTGTGAGTCAAATAAATATACCTGTGAGTGAGATGTGTGAGAGTAAGATAAATATACCTGTGAGTGAGATGTGTGAGTCAAATAAATATACCTGTGAGTGAGATGTGTGAGTCAAATAAATATACCTGTGAGTGAGATGTGTGAGTCAAATAAATATACCTGTGAGTGAGATGTGTGAGAGTAAGATAAATATACCTGTGAGTGAGATGTGTAAGTCAAATAAATATACCTGTGAGTGAGATGTGTGAGAGTCAGATAAATATACCTGTGAGTGAGATGTGAGAGTCAGATAAATATACCTGTGAGTGAGATGTGTGAGAGTCAAATAAATATACCTGTGAGTGAGATGTGAGAGTCAAATAAATATACCTGTGAGTGAGATGTGTAAGTCAAATAAATATACCTGTGAGTGAGATGTGTGAGTCAGATAAATATACCTGTGAGTGAGATGTGTGAGAGTCAGATAAATATACCTGTGAGTGAGATGTGTGAGAGTCAGATAAATATACCTGTGAGTGAGATGTGAGAGTCAAATAAATATACCTGTGAGTGAGATGTGAGAGTCAAATAAATATACCTGTGAGTGAGATGTGTGTACATGTAACATTGAAATGGACTTACCTGTAAGATATAGGTAATAGTGAGTGTGAAATGTAAGAGTGAAAATGAGCTAAATGTAATGAGAGTGAGATGTAGGTATTTGTGGAAGTGAGATGTAAGAGCCTGTGAGAGTGAGATGTAGGTATTTGTGGAAGTGAGATGTAAGAGCCTGTGAGAGTGAGATGTAGGTATTTGTGGAAGTGAGATTTAAGAGCCTGTGAGAGTGAGATGTAGGTATTTGTGGAAGTGAGATGTAAGAGCCTGTGAGAGTGAGATGTAGGTATTTTCGGAAGTGAGATGTAAGAGCCTGTGAGAGTGAGATGTAGGTATTTGTGGAAGTGAGATGCAACAGCCTGTGAGAGTGAGATGTACATAGTCACACTTCTATGAATCAAACTTTGATGGTTCAAATTTCTTGATGTATCAATGTTTTTGTCCGGTCCCAAAGTTTATTACTAAATATATTACTACTAACTTACCCCCTTATGAATTGAAGTTTTTATAAATCAAATCTGTTTGATGTATCAAAGGTTTTACAGACCGTAAGCTATGATAACATAGTCATTGACAACTCATGATTCGAACACATTTACCTGCACTGTACAGGTATTTTTGCCCTGTGGCAAAATTTCACTCATTTCAACGAAGAGTGCTACTTGACAATGGGATTGCAATAGCCTGCTATCATTAGCTCTGTGTTACGAGATTAATTAATGACTGGACACAGATTAAAATTTAATTGCTTACTTACAAGCAATGATATTTAATCAAAGATAATGGGACATTGTTTGATGTTCACTGCTGCCATTGTGGCAATGGCATTAAATTAGGTCAAATTTACAGAGTTTTGAAAACAATGTGAGGAAATCCTATCTATCACTTGTATGATGTTTTCACTCATTCCCAAAGTGTTACTTTTAGTTTTAAGTGTAAAAGCATGAGAAACACAGTGATTTATCTGTCAATCTTGTATTCTCCCATTGATTCAGGCTAGCCTTCGTCAGAAGATCAGCAAACACTCTTGTAATTTCTACGACCAAAAATGTGTGATGTTAATGGTGTCGTTTCTGGACATAATGCATTATGCTATCAATTTGCTTTCTTTTAAATTCATTAGTGGTTATAATGTTTATGAATCAGTCCAAAAATAATTACTGTAACACGTGAAGACCACTATTATGCTGCATGTTGTTTCATTTAAAGCTGACCTGTAGGATGCATATATTGTGTGACATGATCCATTGCCTGTTGATTTCTATTTAAAGTTATGTATTTTTTCATGAATGAAAATGTTTGGTATTTGTTGTGTTCGTTCAGGTAGAAATATTGTGTAATCAACAATGACGATTTGGAGTCTTCATGTATCAGTTTTTTTGGTAGTCCCTTGAACTTCAAAACATCGAAGTTTGACTGTACATATGTACCTGTGAGAGTGAAATGTACATACATATGTACCTGTGAGAATGAGATGTACATACCTGTGAGAGTGAGAGTGTCACCACCAGATTTTATTAAGTCCACCACTTGTTTATGTGTGCCTCCTTCCACATTCACTTTATTTCTGTAAAAAATTAGAAAATTCCACTGCATCAGTAAATTTATACTTTTCCCTGCCACAATGATTAGAAATTCTTCACCTGCTCTGCTTTTTGGGATCTTCACATAACAGCAGCAGCAACCTGAATGATGTATGGATATCTAACCACCAGCTTGCAATTCTACTTTGTCTGGACATAAGCTTGTGGCATTATGTGTCTTGTCTGGACGTTAGCTTGTAGCAGTATCTGTCTTGTCTGGACATAAGCATGTAGCATTATCTGTCTTGTCTGGACATAAGCATGTAGCATTATCTGTCTTGTCTGGACATAAGCATGTAGCATTATCTGTCTTGTCTGGACATAAACTTGTAGCATCATGTTTTGTCCGGACATTAGCTTGTAGAAATATCTGTCTTGTCTGGTCAAAAGCTTGAAGCATTATCTGTTTTGTCATAAGCCTGTTACATCTGCTGTCTTGCCTGGACATAAGTCTGTTACATCAGCTGTCTTGCCTGGACATAAGTCTGTTACATCATCTGTCTTGTCTGGACATAAGTCTGTTACATCAGCTGTCTTGCCTGGACATAAGTCTCTTACATCATCTGTCTTGTCTGGACATAAGTCTCTTACATCATCTGTCTTGTCTGGACATAAGTCTGTTACATCATCTGTCTTGTCTGGACATAAGTCTGTTACATCATCTGTCTTGTCTGGACATAAGTCTCTTACATCATCTGTCTTGTCTGGACATAAGTCTCTTACATCATCTGTCTTGTCTGGACATAAGTCTGTTACATCATCTGTTTTGTCTGAACATAAGTCTGTTACATCATCTGTCTTGTCTGGACATAAGTCTATTACATCATCTGTCTTGCCTGGACATAAGTCTGTTACATCATCTGTCTTGTCTTACCAGCTATAAGTCAGAAAATGTTTTATTCTGAAGTCAAACAATTCTTTATGAATCAAAGATTACGCATCTATCTTATTCTAAGTGGACTTCAAAACCAAAATAAATTACAAATTTGCCATTGTATAATTATCTTAGTATAAGGTCTATACTAATCAGGAGATATATATTAAATGTGTTTACATCAACCAGGACACAGGATTTACATGTTGTAACAATTGTAAATGTGAACAGTTATATAAACTGGTTGGTCTCCTTGTCTCTAATGATCGATAATAAACTGGAGAGTATACTGGAAATTTCATTGTTAGTTATCACGAATATTCCATATTATATTAAGTGTTGTTGCCTATTTTACCTTCCACAAAATTCATGTTAGTAATACTGGTCAACCTTTGAAATATCCATGGGGTCAGAAAGTGTTAGAAAAGTACATACGTTATAATTTGCATGTCTCATTGACTAATTTAATTAGACCTTTCAGTAATTATAAGCAACAAGGAGGTTTTCCTGATAATTTACCTAGAACATGGTGTATAGATGACACGGTATTGAAGATACCTTCTGTGAATTTTCAATGGCATCTTCATATACCACATTGGTACAGCCATGGTACACAACATATAAAACTGTGCCACTGTTAACATCTGTAAACACAGTCACACACTGGGTAAACAGACATGACCAGCCATTAAGTTAATGAATATTAAATTAGGTGTACATCCATTGACTTATATGTAACATGCATACAGACTCTCAAATCAAATTCCTCCTTTTTTTTTATGTAACTTCCAAATTTTCAGAAGAATCAATTTCATGCAATGCCCTCTACAGGTGATCAGTTTACAGGGAAACAGCCTACAGGTGACCCCTCTACACATGATTACTCTCTAGGTGACCCCTGTACAGGTGATCAGTCTACCTGTGACCCCTTTACACATGATTACTCTCTAGATGACCCCTTTACAGGTGATCAGTCTACAGGTGACCCCTCTACACGTGATTTCTCTCTAGGTGACCCCTGTACAGGTGACCCCTCTACATGTGATTACACTCTAGATGACCCCTCTACACATGATTACTCTCTAGGTGACCCCTATACAGGTGACCCCTCTACACGTGATTACTCTCTAGGTGACCCCTCTGCAGGTGATTACTCTCTAGTTGACTCATATACAGGTGACCCATCTACACATGATTACTCTCTAGGTGACCCCTCTACAGGTGATTACTCTCTGGGTGACCCCTATACAGGTGATTACTCTCTAGGTGACCCCTCTGCAGGTGATTACTCTCTAGGTGACCCCTCTGCAGGTGATTACTCTCTAGTTGACTCCTATACAGGTGACCCCTCTACACATGATTACTCTCTAGGTGACCCCTCTACAGGTGATTACTCTCTAGATGACCACTATACAGGTGACCCCTCTACAGGTGATTACTCTCTGTGTGACCCCTATACAGGTGATTACTCTCTAGGTGACCCCTATACAGGTGATTACTCTCTAGGTGATCCCTATACAGGTGACCCCTCTACACATGATTACTCTCTAGGTGACCCCTATACAGGTGATTACTCTCTAGGTGATCTCTGTACAGGTGACCCCTCTACACATGATTACTCTCTAGGTGACCCCTCTACATGTAATTACTCTCTAGGCGATCCCTATACAGGTGACCCCTATACAGGTGATTACTCTCTAGGTGATCCCTATACAAGTGATCCCTCTACAGGTGATTACTCTCTGGGTGACCCTTATACAGGTGATTACTCTCTAGGTGACCCCTCTACAGGTGACCCCTCTACATGTGATTACTCTCTAGGTGATCCCTCTTCAGGTGACCCTCTACACATGATTACTCTCTAGGTGACCCCTATACAGGTGATTACTCTCTAGGTGATCCCTCTACAGGTGATTACTCTCTAGGTTACCCCTATACAGGTGACCCCTCTACAGGTGACCCCTCTACAGGTTATATCTCTACACGTGATCTACTTGTCTTTATTTACAGAAGTGAGTTTATTTCACAGTTCTAAAGTTGTACCATTATTTATGCCAATTCATTGTCTATGTTTTAATAAAAATCAGGACATCTTAACAACCTTAATATCATATATATAATTTTTTGTTTAAACAAATAGATAATTATGTAAACAACAAAGCATCCAAATTAAATCATGACATTCTTAAACCTTAACGTCCTAATTTAAATAAATCCGTTTTATATACCTCTCTCACATGTTCACTAAAAACAAGCAACCTGTTAACATCTATGTGGTATTTTTATGCATTAGCTGCTCTACAAAGTAAATATACAGCACATTATAGCTAGTGTTGAAGGCTCACAAGAAACCTATTTAAGTATGCAGTAAGCGGTAAAGCTTTGATAAGAATATTTTCAGTTTCACGTCGGTATGAAAAAAAAACCATTTCAAAACTGAATGAATGACACATTCATGACAGGGTTGCAAAAAGGTTTTACTTTCAAACCAGCAAACTGAAACATATTCTTACCAAAGTTAATGATGAATATCTTAGATAGGTTTCAAAACAAAAATGATATACAACTGTAAGTGTATAACTTTGATAATTTAATGATTATTTTATACCGCATCACTAAGTGTAACAGCTTACATGATATGATGTGACATCATTGACAGCTCATTTCCACCATTTCAAGTCATTCAAAATTTATTCATGGGTAGGACCGTCATAAACCAACAGAAATGTGTAAAAATATGAAATAACATATTTTACCATTGATAAATTCCTTATTTATTCATTGTTTATATATATGTATATTATATGATGTCATTGAATGACAGTGATCCACACACTAGGTGAATGTGTAAACAGACATTCAATTTATACAAAAAAAAAGTTCGAACAGTCCTTCCACAAGGTGGCATGCTGTCATTGACTCTTCCAATCACTATCAAACGGACGGATCTAGATGGGGTTTTTTATCAAAAAATGAAAAGTAAAAATTGATGACTCAGCTGCAATTTGCATACAAATAACAACAAAAAATCATAAAGAAATGATAAAGAAATATACCATTGTTACACAAATATATTGTACACCATGATATTTTCACCCACAGTATTATACGAAGGGGTTATATAAGCGTAACAAATTTTCACCACCATCTTAAATTCACCCATCCTCATTGTGGACGAAAATGTGAAAATGAAATGGGGTGAATTCTTTCAAGTTATACTACGTAATGTTTGTATTCTTTTCTTTAAATGTTCTATATTTGTTATTGGACATATAAACAATATTAACTATCAAATGTCAAAATCAATGTAAACATAAACATTTGTGTGGCACCACTTCAATCACAAATCATTAAACACTACACCTTTGGGAGTCTATTGCAGCTAGTAAAAATAAAACTATTTCACTATATTCATGGCCTCATTCAGTGATGTGTGCACAAATTCCATAGAACTATATCTAGAATATTAATATTTAAGCTGGGTATTTTTTAAACATCCACCAATTATGAGCTTCATCTGAAATTACATCATTATAACTAATGGTCTACTTATACCCCTCTCCACCTCCATGTATATTGAATCAATAATACAATAGCAAAAGGTGAACATGACAGGTCTTTCTCATTGGACTTCTCTGTACAATAAGTCATTTACAAATCAAATACACAAAGCTGCAGTCAAAGGTATACCCATTGACATGTAAACTAATTCTCATCCCATACAAAGAATTACACTCCAGCTCGGTTATGCACATTCAGTTATTTACTTTGTCACAGATGAGACGTACAACACAATCCCTACCATCACCTTAGGATTAGACACACTGACTGACATCAAATGGGACCAGGCATATTTTTACCACCACAGACAAGCCTGTTCACTTCACAGGAATCTACACAGGCCAAAGAAACTGGTAAAATTACTTTGCAAAATTCTTCAATGCTATCTTAATAAATCTATTCTTTTATCACAATTAGTCTTACATTTCATTTTATGTGAAAAAAATTAATTTATCCTTTTAGCTAGCTATGATACATAATTTTTGCAAAACAAAGAAATAATTCAAAATATCTTGAATTCCCACATTGGCAATATTCCCTTAGCTTTTTACAACCCACTGTAAAAAGAATTATCAATGCCCCCAGATCTGAAAATAAAAACATATTGCTTTTGTGCTGTCTGCTTGTTAATTGTTGTCAAGAATAACCTTGCCCATACTATTGCACTGTAAGTGGTATGGCTTTCATAATTGGCATGTGTGTGTTCCTTGTGACAAGACCTTTCAGGTGGTACCAAAAATTTTTATTGTGCAACTTTAACTGTGACCTGTAACCAACATTTGAAAAGGCATGGCTTTCATATTTGGCATGTATCTTACTTGTGATAAGTATTTCCTGGTGGTACTAAAATTTTTGACCATGTGATTTAAATTTTGTTGCAACCAGTAGGCATAGTGTTTCACAAACATATATTGTTCCTACTTATTTTGGCACTGTACAATGAAGTTACTTTCAGCAAATTTTTGTTCATAGTACAAAGTGATATTTTTATCTCATCAGATAGAATGTTTTCACTGCAAATTTTCTGGAAGAGCTGTCTCCAGCCTTGTTTGGACACCTCAGACAACGAGGATGATTCCCAATATGGCACAAATTATTCAATAGAATAGTATTCTGAAAAATGGCAAACTGACCTCTGAACAAATGTCTCCAGTGACGATAATACAGTGACATTTCATGGCCTTGATGACAATGAAATGATTTCATCAGATAACATAACAAAAGATCCAATGGGCCTGAATTGCTCACCCATTATACAGCTTATACTGAAGACTTTATCATTTTATCAAAGGGACATCACAGTAAAACCATATTTTTTTTCTATTGATTGAGTATGTTTCATAAGCTTCCAGTTACATTTCTATGTTATTCCTATATTCAAATTTGATTTCAATGTCCAGTTTGACCACTCATTTTAGGACAGAAACTCCTTGCAAATTATGAACTGATAACATCACCATACAGTTTTTTATTTTTAAATAGGCAGGTCATTTGTAAAATGAACCCATGTGATCACAGCGAAATATGTAGTGGCACAGTACGTAAACACCTATTTTTCAGCACCCAAATTTGTTTGATTATCCAAACTTTATTAGGAATTATAAAAAAGTGACATCAATAGGTTATTCATTTTGACAAACTAGGTAGCCCTTCATCCCAGAATAACATCAGTAGCCTTGGCCTTCTGATTACTAAGCAGAAATTATTATAAGATTTTAAAATGCTTGACTCCTGTGACCTTGAAAGTGGGTCAAGGTCATTCACTTGAACAAACCTGTAAGCCCTTCATTTCAGTATAACATCAGTAGCCTTTGCCTTTGGTTATTGAGTATACGTAAAAGTTGTATGGAGATTTTATACATATCTGACCCTTGTAACCTTGACAGTAATTTGTTGCCATTCATTTGAATAAACTGCAGAGGCCTTCATCCCTGCAGCCATCATTACAAACATCAGTTGGGCCTTTCGTTATCAGGTATATATAGAAGTTGTTTGAAGATTTTAACACATTTGACCCATGTTACCTTGAAAGCAATTCAAGGTTATTCATTTGAACAAACATGGGAGCCCTTCATCTCAGCATGCTACAGAGTCAACATCAGCTATCTTGGTTATTTTGTTATTGAATTGCAGTTATTTGAAAACTTGAACACATTTGACCAGTGTGACTTTGAAAGTAAGTCAAGGTCATTCATCTGACCCACATTGCATAATGAAAAAAAATTATTGTAACATTTGATTGTTGTTAATTCTGTGGCAGCAAAACAAATACAACATCAGCATGTTTTATGTTGTACAGTGTATAAACATTTTTGGCAAATATTCATCACTTTCAACAAGACTCTGGGTACATTGAAAGTTAATCCTACTGATAGCTGTGTGTTATAAATAACATTACCAATAGTCTGTACTTCAACACTTGAGTGTTGATTAGAGACAGTCTGAACACATGCTGTGAACTTTCCATCATCAGTCAGGTTTTCTGTCTCTATACCTGTATAGGAGACTTCAAAGACATTCCAATGAAGGTTATAAACTCTGAATGTTCTTAATGAGAAGACCCAATGCCAGTGAATAAATATCAGTTAAGACACTCTATACCAACTCAAAAGTCAGGCATGTAGGCCACAGAAGCTGTAATACACAGCGTTGTCTTATAACACATTATATCTTTTATCCCATATTAATCCCAACAATTTCATAATCGGTAAATTGTCAAGATGTTCACATTTCAAGACTATCAGATTTACAAATTATTCAAGATGGATTTATGTCTCTTTACAACAGATCCCAGAGGGACGAGGGCACCCATCATTGTTTTATCTTTATTTGTTCTTTAAATGTTGGATATTTTCTTTCCTTTTCTCTGTCTCCCTTTTATCTCTTAATGTTTCCCTTTTATCTCTTAATGTCTCCTTTTTTCTCATAATTCTAAGAAGAACTAGTAGTAATAATCATAATCCTTGAAGGTCATTTTGTTTAGCTAATCAGTCCACAAACCAAAAGCACACACCTAGTAACCAAGGGGAAACTATGTATAAAAATTTAGAAACTTCCTAAAAAATTACAATACCAATCTTTCCAGTCAAAATCAAAGATGACCTTCCATATCCTATTTTGCTTTTCTCATCATGTCCCAAAATCAAAAGTGCATAAAAATTGACCAAGATGAACCTACCAGTATTTCTTGGGTAACAGCAATAGCAATCTTTCATTGTCAAAATACATAATGGCCAGTTGTCAGTCATATTGTTTTTCCAACAATCAAAGTGGACCATGCACAACTAGATGTCAAGACAAACTATATAAAATTTGAGAATAATCCATCCAGTGACATGCTTCTCCAGAAACAGAAATCACAAGAATTGCTGAAAGACAGAGAAAAGGATAGATAGGTGGACAGACCATGGATGAAAAGCAATTTTAATACCCCACCACCTGAAGATGATGAGGCAAAGAAATCAATTAAAAATAGTATCAATGTTAAGAGCTTTTATTCCATTTGGGTAATTCTTTGTCTTGATCAACAAATGTACATACTCATATTTTATAATTAGTTAAATTAACATTGCACGTTCCCATTGCATACCTAAGTAAAATAAGTTCATCTTGATTTACATCTGATGAAAAAGGTGATGAACAGATAGATGAATGGAAAGATTGATTAATGAAAGACTGAAGAACAGGATAATTAACAGACACATAAATGGACAGACATGATTAATGGATAATGAATGAACACACCTATAAACATGGTGATTAGCTGGCAGATAAATGGACATAATGTTTAATAGTGTGATTAACATATAGATTAATGGAGAGACAAATGAATGAGGAGCCAGATGAATGATGTTACCGATAGATGAATGAACACACCTATAAACATGGTGATTAGCTGGCAGATAAATGGACATAATGTTTAATAGTGTGATTAACATATAGATTAATGGAGAGACAAATGAATGAGGAGCCAGATGAATGATGTTACCGATAGATGAATGGACAGACAGATAAACAGGGTGATCAAAAGAAAGATAAATGGAAAGACACATGAACAGCGTGTTAAATGGATAATGAATGAACAGGCTGACAAACATGGTGATTAGTGTGCAGATAAATGGACAGACAAATAAATGGTCTGATTTACAAACAGATGAATGAGGAGCCAGATGAACAGGATGATAACCTGCCGTAAAGTAGCAAATTCACATAAGAAGCCCAAGGGCATCACAAATAAGCACCACATTTGATAACATTAATTAATCAGCATGTGAAAAATCATATGTGATAGAAGCTATTTGAAGAAGGTTACACAGTATGTAATTAATATTACATGGATGTTCTTTGTGATAATCACACACATAATTCTCTGGTCACACGGTGTACATGTTACATCAATCTGATATATCAACAGTTTACAACATCCTTAAGTCACAAGTTACTTACAACAGAAACAAAAAAGTGACAATTTCAGACTGTACCAGATATAAATTATTAAACTTATTTTAATATTACAATAATCTTTTATGATACTAAAGATATTCAGGTAAAGATCTATACAGGTTCCTGTTAAAATAACAGTCATATAGCATATACAAGATTACTGGAACAAGTAGCCTGGTATTCTTTGATGGAAGGGACTTGACTTTTGTTTAGTATCGATAATCTGATATATCATCTGATTTAAATGACTGGATTCACTTATTTGATTCTCAGCAAAGCTATTTTCACTTCTTCCTCCCTGTTACTGACTGATGCCATCAAATGACTATAACCTTAAAAGAGGCAGTTAAAATGTAAACAGTACATATTATTGTAGTATTAAAGCTGTCTTTCTTAATCCATCTTGAGGGACTTTCCCTTTATAAAGTTGACAACGTGTTCATTTTATAGTATTTGGTTACAGTCTGGTTCAATTTTCAGTTGAAAAGCAGCATAAAACATTATACTACAGTTGCCTGTTCTGTATATGTGTTTAATTTATACTCACTCGCTTATAGTTAGAAGGCACATAGTGTAAAATAGTATAGGTTTGTTCAGTACAGTTCATATAAAATGAAAGTTAACCCTGATTTACATATGTGACAAAACAAGCTAACAGTTGTGTTCAATATCAACGATAATCTAATTATATATCTGTACTAAGTTTGTAGTAAACTGACAACTCTAGAACAGCTACAGACTTGCATTTGAGTATCTATATAGGGTTGTAACGATCGTAACCTAAGAAACATATGTGAGGTTAAAATCGGAATGATGTCAAATCATGAATATGTGTTAGTAGGTAGAATACTTACACTTCCAGAATTCGATCTCCCTTCCGTATGCCTGCTCTCTGAGCTGCACCACCTTCCAGTACGGCACTGACATGTTGCAGGGGTGCATACAGTACCCCATTGATCGATTTCAGCACTCCCCCTTCGCTAACTTGACCTCTGACATTAAAACCAAATCCTGTCTCTGTTTTTGTGATTGTCACAACCCTGGGTCCCAGGTCATCTTGTCGAATGTCAGGAGAGGAGGGTGGGCTGCTATCATCGCTGTCCGCCATCATTGGTCATGTGACCAAACTAAAATAACTTCCGGTTTCACTGACACACATAAATCGATTTTTAATTATCTGAGTGATATTGTCACCATCTAATAAATATGTTATCCCATATATATCCGAAGAAATTTAGCAGAAATAATAGTACAAGAAAGAGAATTTAAGAAAAGGGTTTGAAATAGCTACCGAATTTTTTCTTCAAATAAGAGGTCCCTAGGGCATGTAACACACTTAACTCCTGTCTACAATGCAGTGTTAACTGTTAAACTATAAATACAGTACCAGATCACTTGTCACGATGAATGCTAAATTCTTTAGATTGATCTGTAAAATCGAAATTTAATTCTTCATAGTATAAGTGTTACATTACCAGTGACATACATAATACAATGTTCTATAACACGTCCATGATATTACATCATCATTATTTTTAGCAAACTAACTCGGTCCTGATCTGCACACAGTAAAAAATGTTAATCGAGAAAGAAATGTGAAGACAATGAAAACAATATTATTTTTCATGATGCCTTTTTATTGTTTTTTTTTCATCTAATGAGGAAAGATGAGTTCAAGATGATGGCATACAATTTACATGTATCATCCGACTTAAAGTTTCTGATTATCCATCAGCGATTTTTTTTTTGTCATAAATATATAGTCGAAAAAATGAAATGGTATAGTTAGTTCATTTAAACATATTTATTGACAATATATCAAAGGGATTGGGCACAAGCGATTGCAATTTAGTGGGCTCTCGCTCAACATTTCGATGCACAATGTTTTCAGATAATACCTGAGGACACAATTTCAAACATATTTTAGCACTCGATATCATTTAGTAATATTATACTTAACGCATCATGGAGAAGGAAAGACGGCGAGGGAATAGGGAAAAGGTATACATGGGAAGTTCTGGTTACTAATGGTTCCGTTAACTAGTATCACTGTCGCGTACCTGTTCAGGAATGGTCTTTTCACGACGGCGGACGTAGTGACGACCACAAAATGTAGGTGCTCACTTTAAGCTAACAATTCACCGATTTATGGATACCATAATACCCGAAATTTGTATTACAATATTTGCACGGTGCTGTTATGGTGAATTTTCCATTTCTGGATACTAACATTCCTGCATCCCCAACCTACGGTGCATGTCGCAGTTGATTCGATATTCAAGGGTCTGTTCCAATTATCATCATTTTCATGCAAAAATCGTCAACTGACGGACAAATTCGTCACATAGGGTTTCCAAAGATGCAGGTTGATGGAAATTATGGTGAAGTTTTACGTCGTCATAATGATCTCATTGAGAAACACTTTATTTCTTTGTGTGATATGAAGCTTGGGGTGTGTAATACTCGTTAGTTTGTCTGTTGGTTCCGTTGTTGTATACATTGTTTTCATTTTGAGAAAGTGACGTAACATAATTGGATTGAGAAAAGTTTGCATAACGGGTGTCGTCAAGGAGACCGAAGACGCTTACTCTTCCCGAACGCCTGATCTTATTCTCTTTGTACTTTCTTTTGTTCATGTTTTGCCCTACTGTTATTGAATCTGAATTTGGTTTTTTAATATGTTGACATGTTGATCTTTTCTTGCTGTTTTTCCGGTACACTTTGGTTTCAAATTGTTTGTTCGGGATGTACAGTTAAACTTGGTTAGCTCGAATGCGTCGTTTAATTTTTCTTGTCCAATCCATACCTGGAAAAATGTGTACAAAATAGATAAATAAAGATATCGGTGATTTCAAAGCAAGATATCGGCCTTGACAGTAAAATCACACTTGAAAACTACAAATGTACCGCTTTTCCCGAAGTTCCAAAGTTTCCGCTTTAGACGAAATGTTATGTCAGCTACTGGTACCTCATTCTAGGTCCCACAGTTATCATAAAGAAATAAAGCCTTTTTATGGCTTCATCGTGCGAAAATAAGATCTGTGACAAATGTCACAATAAAATACAAACATATAAGGAATCAGAGCTCATCTACGTTTATAGACCCATTTCACAAAACAATGAAGGTCCCAGGTCACAAAGAGACGTTTCATATTTCTGCCTTTTGAATTGTTACATTCTCTATGTTTATTTTCGTATTTTAAAAAAGACAAATGATGAATCAAGTGTGTATCAAAGACAGTTACAATGATAATCGCATTGCTTCCGCAAATCATAGGGACAGTTATAAACGGGTCTCGAATAGGCCTACATTATTCTTGTCTTGAGACAAATGATTTCAATATATGTAGTTATAGAATATATTATATATATATATATATATATATATTATTGTAATGTCAACAGCTGGATAGAATTAAGAAATCGTCAAGTGATTCTGGAAGTTTTGCTCCGGTTCATCAAAGAAACTGTCTCCAGACGTATATACATAAAACACCCAACAAGTTCCTTTCAGACTTTGCACTGTAGTAATCCGTCTTTCAAATCATCGACACTTAATTTCCGTATACTGTACTCTATAATTCAATATCGCACACTTCCACATTTGAAGTCCTATTCCTAATTGTCGAGGAATTCTTCTGTCGCAGGGTATATGGTATAACATTTTACCCAACCTCACGACACTATCAAATAGGGAAAAGGCTCTCAATGCGTGATATGTTGGAACTAACCTTGAACTGATACTCTGGCTAATGTCTTACTGTGGGTTTATTTGACTCTCAATGCGTGATATGATGGAACTAACATTGAACTGGTGCTCTGGCTAATATCTTACTGTGGGTTTATATGACTCACAATGCGTGATATGATGGAACTAACCTTGAACTGGTACTCTGGCTAATGTCTTACAGGTGCTTATATGGCTTTTGTATTGTAGTAAATTTCTCTGTCAAAGTTTCTATATATTTCTGATGACAAGTCCGTAACTTAAAGACGATTTTTTTCTTTCATTTTTGTTAATATTATAGGTCGATGAGCATATTTAAACAGCCCAAGGTTCATTTTCATTGTCAGGGAGACGCTCAAATAACAACGCTTTTAAGCGATATGCTTTTTATTTGGATTTGAGAAATCTCTTGCAGCAAATCCCGATTCGATACGAAAATCAACAGTTCGCTCGATTTTGCGAAAGGCTCACAATGATTTATTATCATAACAGCACCATACAAATAGTGTAATACAAATTTCGAGAATTTCTCAGTTTCGCGTGGTGCTTGTCCCGGTCAGATTGTACCCATTAGTAATATATGATTTAGACTTTACCCGATTATTTTGTATTCACTGTCGCGTACCCGGTAGGGAGAGGGCTTAAGATGTCAGACTATACAGATCGGCAAAGGTAAGTCCTGCATCCAATGCCTGGTTCTCCTAATTGTCATTCCTCGATACTCCGGGAGTTACGCTCACTTTCGCTCTCTGCACCCCTGGAACATATCATGCCAAAATTGAACGCACAAACGAAGTTATTTGATTGCTTCCAGGAGAAAAGCTGGCCAATCCCAGGCTGATACGCCCCTTTTGAAGATTACAGAGGAGCTACACCCTACTTCAAAGCCATTCATTTGATGCACATCAAAGGATCAAATTAGTCTTTTCGTTTTGTCCACAAGGTGCCGCTCAGGGAACCTTTAATTTTCATAGTAACATATCAAGGATGCTAACTGTCAAGCTTTAGTAGGCTATGTAGTTTCCTCCATACCTTGTCATGTCCTCTCCCTATCCTTAATTATGGGTCCCTTCCTCTAATTTACTCCCCCACCCCACCCCACCCCGCCGATAAAAAGAGTGCCCTCCGTCGCCATGTTCTGTTTTCTTGATTTGTCAATAACTAATTAATTACTGAACTAAATCAGCGGAGATTGAACAAAAATCTCTACCACGGGTGATTACCAAGGAGTTTGACGATATTTGTAACAAACAAGCACGATAATGATGGAAAACAACACACTCAACAAATCATATGTGCTTCGAAAACGAAAATGCGATAAACTTTCAATTGAAATCGCAGGCGAATTTCTTGCAGTCTGTGCACCGAAATACAACATGGGAATCTGATAAATAAATCACAGAGGATTCCAAAATAATTTCAAGAATTACTCACAGTAAATATAGCCAACGAAAGCTTGAAAATTAGGAAAACCGATTAATAAAACAGGCACCTACTTTTGCTGATCTGTATCGGCTGATCCGTGCAGGGTACACGACAGTGGGATTAGACACAGCTGCTAAGAAGTTGGTACGTGTGTGCTCACGGCATGCCAAACTTGAATTTAAAGCCATCGAGACCTATAATGTCAATGTCTATTGACCAGATTAACAACACTTCCATTTCCTTGTTGGTCACAATGACGCACACCTTTCGAGACAATGGAGAGTACAACTACGCCAGAAATGTCTCGAATTATTCATTTGGTGTTTATTATACTAAGTCAAAGAGTTACTTTGTGAATTTTCTGTAAATGAAAGTCGGGTAATGACGTCACCAACTTAACAGGGACGGAGAGAGGTTCAGTTAGTATCAATGACAATTTTCTCATAAATAACTTGGATGAAATATTTCAACAGTAATTAGAACTTAAACAAAGCGATCACTGTTCTACTTGAAATAGCACATAATTCTCTGGGGAAAAAAATCATATGACATGTCAAATTATGTTTAAATTATCTGTTTAATGTACAAATTAATGTAGTTAAACTATACAAATCACACCACTCAACATTTGTTAAAAAAAATTCTCAAAGATTTCTAACCGAATCCCATACAAATCTCAGACAGACAGACAGACAGACATGATTCTATTACAATCTTCGTTAAGTATCTATTTATTTATGTATTTTCAGATATGGAACTGGTATACATTTCGTATCTTTTTAAGTCCCCAGTACAGAGTTAACATCCAAAAATAGAACTGTCAAAAATACGAAATGACAATAACCATAACAGGTCAATTCATCTTCAAACTCCCATCCACCTGTAACGGATCTTGAAAATCACAAAGTCAGTTGGGTAATTGAAACATCCAGGGGCGTAGCTAGCCCAGCAGAAATGTGTAAGCCCAGGCGAGGGGTCTGGAGGCCGCCTAGGCCCCCAGAGGGTCCAGAGCAGGGTTGGTGGGGGATCTGGGGGGCAAAGCCCCCCGACGGAAAATGAATTTCATGGTTTCATCAGAGACGTATATATCGTGTTATATATGTCTCTGGTTTCATAGATGTTTTGAATCGTATTCTGAGACAGTTTTCTTTATTCATTTAACAACAAACTTTCAACCCCTGACTAAGTAAAAGCTAACTTTCTGTTCTTTTGATTCGCGAAAATGTCCATGACAATTTCCGTATCTTGGTTACATGTACCTTCGGTCTTTAATGTGTCACTTTAAGTGTGGTTACTCAATTCGACTTTATTTTGTTTGAAAAAAAAAACCTGTCGATCGACGTCTGTAATCCAGAAGCCTTCTTCGTTTTGAAAATTTGCACTTTAACAACATTATAATCGGAAACGTTGAAAAGATAGTAAGAAGTAGAATAGTATGACGTGTGTAAACTTCCGGAAAGCAATGTACTAGGCCTAGTTATTCAACAATTTTCTATTTATATTTTTTTTATTTATCAAACATATTAGATATTTGTTTTTAACCTTAGTTTTGTAATTTTGTCCGACATACTCTATGCACGGATGTTTTATCTGTAAGCCCGGGCTTTTTCTTTCTATGGAAGTTACGCCCCTGGCAGATGAACGAAGTGGCAATAACCATAACAGAACAATTCATTTTCAAACTCCCATCCGACTGTAACAGATCTTGAAATCACAAAGTCAATTTGGTAATTTAAACATGTGCAGATGAGCGAAATGATCACAAAAATGAGAATGGCATGTCGGTTCCATTACATTTGGATAATCCTCGATACTTAAGCGGTTACGATCACTTTCGCTCTTTGCTCCCCTGGAACATGTCATGGCAAAATCGAAGGCACAGTCGAAGTACTTTGATCGGTTCCTGGAGAACAAAAACTGGCCAATCATTACAAAGGAGCGACACCCAATTTCAAAGTCATTACAATATGCTATTATGCGACCCCGAGATTCATTTGATGTACATCAAAAGTTCAAGCTAGCCTTTTGGCTTGTCCACGACGTGTTGCCCAGGTAACCTTCAATTTTGCCATGATATCTTCCAGGGATACAGAGAGCGAATTGATCGTAAGTCCTGGAGATCGAGGGTGCAGTTGGATATATAAGATTAAGTGTTTACTAATAAATTACAAAATACTTTAATTAAACCAAACAAAATACTGTCAAAGATGTGTGAAAATCAATATAGCAATGGGCCCCCTCATTTCATTTCATATCGATCCCGCATCACGGGACTCGGAAACCAGATTCGAATCCGGTTTCGATAATTATAATGAAACACTTTGCCATCGTGCAAATATATTTATAAACACTTTAAATGGTTGACATAGTAACCAGCTGGAAGCTTTCATAGTATTTTTATTATCTAATTTAGATAATTAAGTTAAGTTCCATGTCTTGGGATTTTTTTTCGTGGTCCCGAGTCTTCCTTGTGATGTTTTCTTTATTTTAATTTTTTTCTAGCTGAAATTCTAGTTCTATTTACGCACATATTTGTTTTGTATCTGGTTCTTTCACTGTTTAGTAAGCATCTGATATTACTTATTCGAATTAGTGATAAAACTAATCTGTGTAAATAATATCACCGAATATTAGTGACGACAATTCATAGTACAGGACAGTCGAACGCACCCCAACGCGAATTAGGGAATTTCCCGTTCATCACGATCACTTAGACGCTTGGCTAACTGTGACTGTTATCAAGGATTTACAGAGAAGTAAGTAATTTAGTTTGTTGAAGTAGTTACCCTGCATTGCTTATTTATCTGACGACCGTACGAAATGAAAACATGTGGTTACCAATGTATTCTAGTTGTTGTCGAAATGTACTAAATTCTAGTTATCTGTACTGGCTATCTGACCAAACTGTACAGAACTGTTCGTGAGTAAGCCACACGTGTTTATAGCTGTGGTCATCTTTGAGGTAATTTTTCAGCAGTATCGTATACCTTAATTATCTTTCAAAAAGTCCAGATGACCACTTCATCAAAAAGTCCGAATAATCACTTCATAATCTTTGACTCAATTTAGAGGGATGGGCATTTTACAGTCTGATTGTGTTAAACCTTATTTTTCACCAATTTGGAAAAATGTTATTCCAACATATATTAATCGCTCTTGTTGATCAGGATTGAAGCACACAGAGGTCATAATGTGAGAAGATACAGGTGTACCTAGAAAAAACTCATGTGTTCGCAGCTGATTCCATACAAATGAACCCCCTTTCCATCCACACTAGGCATTGAACCCTTGATGTCCAAGTGAAAGGAGAGTGTGTTACCACCTACCTACCCGGCTGTCTGGTATTCATAGGTCATTCAGATGGTATGAATGTATAGCATTTTTACTACAGTTGATTTACAAATATGTCCTCTTGCCATATAAATATGGTATGAATTAATATTTTTCCATCACACAGGTAAAGAATATCTAAGAAGTGTCATCATGACAAGGTTTGCTAGAGGCGGCTCTGAGAATAGCAAACGCCCATTAGAGGCCACACCATGGAGAGAAATGAAAGGTTCAGAAGGCTACCAGAGAAATAGACAGAATGTGAAAGACAATAAACACAAGTCAAGCCATACAAAGGTCAAGGTAAAAAGTGAAGAAGAAATTGAAAAGGGATTAATTTTGACTTTGAAAAAAGAGACCAGAAGAGAAGAAAGAAGAGTGAAGAGGATAAATAAGCGAAAAGAAGAAAAGGTAGGTTTTATAAATATAACAGTAATTTGGTATATTTACAATGGCCTACATAGCTTCTGGTTTGTCTACTTAAATCCTTGGTCTGATAATGTCATAAACCTGTCAATTATTTTGCTGGCATGTTTATAAAATAAAAAATGTCGCTAAAGACTTTTGTATTTTTAATCCTCCACCATGTTCAATCCTTATGACAAATTCTACATCTTACCTGATGTTATCATTTACTCCCAGGTGTGTTATAACTGTCGTGGAACAGGTCACGCAATGTCTGAATGTCCAGAGACCAAAAAGGATATTGAACAAGGCACAGGTATCTGTTTTAAATGTGGGTCTACAGAACATGCTTCCAGCAAGTGTCGACTCAAACTCCCTGCAGGTAATTGAAGCTCATATTAGGTAATTAGAAATAACAAGTTATATATATGTCCTGTCTCACAGAGATTTATTATAATATATAATAAGAGTTATATTTTCATCAGTAGCGGTGACAAAAACACTCGTCTTTAAACCAAGGGAGCTGAGGTTTTCACGATTTTCCATTATTTTGATTTGAGTTGTTTTATTTTAAAATGTTACAATTTTAGCCCCCAGTATCAAGTGCTACTACTATTTGCTGAAAAAAAGTCATCTTATGTTGGTGGTGACATGACAGGTTGTAATCAGCTATTTACATTAAAATCACAGGACTAGATTTGAATGGTCGGTAATATTCAGGAATCATGATTAAAACCATGAATGGCCAAGATTTTGGTTTAAATGCTACATAAAAAAAATTCTCTTGTTACCTACTATTGCTAATTGATTTAGAATGGGTAACATCACCAGATACTGCATAACACTGAAACATCCTATCCTACTGTGTTACAGGAAAGTTCCCATATGCAAAGTGTTTTATATGTGGAGAAATGGGTCATTTGTCTAAACAGTGTCCTGACAACCCAAGAGGGCTGTATCCTATGGGTGAGTATCTGATCGAAACAGTGTCCTGATAACCCACAGGGGCTGTATCCAGTGGGTAAATGTCTTATCTAAGCAATGTCCAGACACAGGGGAGCTATATCTTATGAGTAAATCTTATCTAAACTGTCCTCCAAACGCAAGTGGGATGTATCCTGTGGGTAAATGTTTTATCCAAGCAGTGTCCCGACAACCCAGGGGAGGGGCTGTTTCCTATGGGTAATTATACTATCTATCCAGTGTCCAGACACCCCAAAGAGGCTGTATTCTATGAGCAATGGTATGAAACAGCACTTGCTTTGATGATCCACAATGAGAATGTATGATATATGTAATTAGACTATAACAGAATGAAAACTTCCCATTACCAGACATGTTTATTGTGGAGTAATATTTTCTATATGATGAAATATGTGATATATTGAGTTAATTTATTGGTTGGGAATAAGAAATTTAGAAGATATCTGTGCATTGTGACACCTTGTTTGTCCCTACACTGTGTGATACAATTTTATGTATTTAATGTTTCTGATTGGTCAGGTGGATGTTGTAAGATCTGTGAGTCGGTTGAACATTATGAGAGGGATTGCCCAAACCGACAGGAACAGCCAGGTAGGTTACCTAACAAAGATATGGACTAGTTTACCACACAAGGACATATATCATGTTAGATTGGTATGATAGTTTATCGAACTAGGACAGGGATATCACATTAGATTGGTATGTAGGTTTACCACATAAGGATATGCACTTCATGTTAGATTGATATTTTTTTTACCAAATAAGGATATAGACTACATTGTAGATTGGTGAAATCAAACTAAAAAATTTAAGTAAAATTCTGACATATTCACAAAGAAACTTTGAAACAATTTTGCAAAGAATGTAAAATCACTTGTCAAGGTCTTAACCCCAGCTGGAGGTTTTTACTTTAACACTGAGCCCCATTTTTTCAGATGGAAACACAAGACACATTATGACCCTTTTTTTTAAAGTTAATTTAAAAGTTGATTGAAATGTTCTCTGAAGTAGTTAGATGTATACATGTAATATTGTTCAGGGTGATAGGTGAAGGGAGATAACTCCAGACTGAATATGTACTTATATTTAAACTGATCCATTAGGAGTCTAGCAAAGTGATTGCCTATTCCAAGAATAAATTAAAAAAAACCCAGATTTTAATAGTTTGAATAAAAATGTTTTGTTTTATAGATGAAGACAGAAAAGATTTCCTCATGACATGGATACCAGGCACGAGTGCAGATGCAGAAATATCATTCCACAGACCTAATCCTCCTCCTAAGAAAAAAACAGGGCCAAAACTTGTCAAATTTTAATGTTGATTTATTAAAACATTTTTTAAAGGCTTTTAAAGTTGTTTGAGTAATGTTATACAAATGGATGTTGAGGTGAGCCTTGTAAAATTGTATACATGGCATTTATGTATAATCTATTTTAGATAAAAATGTAGGTCAGAGTAACCTACATTTGGTACATGACTCAACACTTTACCAAGATGAACCTACATGTATACGTGTATGAAGTTACAGTGACAAGTAGATTAGGAGATGGAGCAAAGACAAGATCACCGCAATCACCGACAGGCATAATACAAAACTGGAGTCCTCTACCCTACCTCGTTCTTGATGGGGAAAGAGGGTGGGGGGCTAATAAAAATGGAATGAAATATGGAAAGATAGCAGCAACTCCAACAAATTGAGGCAAATCATTGACAAACCAATAAAAAATACAAAGACCTATGGTTACCATAAATCAGATGATGTTATCATTATCAAATTGAAATTAGGAAAAACAAAACTGAATGTTAACATTAATGTTGTGATGAAATGTATATATATGTGAGTTGTGTGATAAAAACAAAACATTTCACAGCTAGGAGAAATCTCTATCCAGAGCTGAACAAACATCAACTTCTAGCTTCACAATCACTGGACATAATAAGGGCCCTTATATTGAAATGTTTTAAGATAATTTCAGTAAAATCTAAAAATATTTACAATCGTGTATCATACAACTTCACCACCTCCATCCTCGATACACCTGGGATTACGATCACTTTTGCTCTATGCATCCATGGAACAAGTAATGGCAAAATTGAAGGTTTCATGTGCTACACTTGTGGACAAGACAAAAACACTAGTTTGATCCTTTGATGTATGTCAAATGAATCTCAAGGGCACATAATGGTACAATGTATTGGCTTTGAAGTTGGGTGACTCTTTGTAATCTCCAAAAGGAACGTATCAGCCTATGATTTTTCAGTTTTTCTCTTCTTGAACCTACCAAAATGCTTCGCTTGTGTCTTCTATTTTGCCATGACATGTTCCAGGTGTACAGAGAATGAAAGTGAAGCTGAAAACTATGTTGTACACTGTACAGCTATACTGTATGTTTATATAATACACAAGATGTATTTGAGTCGAACATTTCCAATACATAAAGTACATCAATTAAACACACACATATAACAAATTAAAATGTCCAGCTTGGAAGACCATCAATCATCAACATTTGATCTCATAATCACAATAGTTACATTAGTACTGGACTATGAAATTATACATAAATAGTGAAAAGTACAAAATACTTTAACCAGAATTTGTAAATAGGAATGTAATAATGATTAAATAATTATCTATATAGCAATCCTCATTTCGTCAATGACCATAACAACTATACAACAATTGGTTTGAGTATATCATAACTATATTAGATCATCTGACCATACAGGAACATTATTGTACAAGATTCCCTTGCCGAAATATGCACTTTTTAAATTCAAAATCCAAGCTATCTGGAGTTATCTCCCTTCAACAAACAATCCGTGAATGTTTCATTAATACTCTTTAAAATTACCAAATGATAATATTAATCACTTAGACTAGATATTGATATAATTTCTGTTAGTATTTTGTAAGATTCTTTTTGATACATCTAGTTGACTTAATGACATAAGTATGCCACATACAATCAAACTAAGTTTAGTTTTTTGAATCCTTGAAATCAAGGTAGGAGATATATCGTATTGACTGTACATTTTCCATTTCATTAATTATACAAAAGAATGTAATGATGTATCATAATACAAACAATCCATCATGCTGTAAAAACCTGTAACAAGTATATTTTTAATTAATCTTCAATGCACATAGGGGATAGACGGTTTCAGGTAGTGAAGACTCAGGGCTCATACCAAGGGCTCTGTAAGGGGTGGTGCGCCTGTACTAAACATAGACGGTTTCAGGTAGTGAAGACTCAGGGCTCATACCAAGGGCTCTGTAAGGGGTGGTGCGCCTGTACTAAACATAGACGGTTTCAGGTAGTGAAGACTCGGGGCTCATACCAAGGGCTCTGTAAGGGGTAGGTGCGCCTGTACTAAACATAGACGGTTCCAGGTAGTGAAGACTCCGGGCTCATACCAAGGGCTCTGTAAGGGGGTGGTGTGCCTGTACTAAACTCCAAATAACTACTTAACATATGTTAATTGAATGACGTTACAATTTTGTCACCTCTGCAGGTGCACTACTTAAAGTTATGATATATATCAAGACATCAAACACATACCAGAGAAAGCCATACCACAAAATAACTTTCTTAACCGTATACAATGGATGGTACACAGCAAGAGTGCAAATATGGGTACTGCTCTGCATACTTTTGGACTCCATTAAAGATAGGAATGACAATAACTGTATCCACAACATATACGTCTACACAATACACACAACGAGATGGATCACTTCTGATCATTCTTGATCAAGTCTTGAACACATTAATTGGTGCATAATGAGTCGGTGAGCCGCCATTATGCTCCATCCCACAATTTCCGACTTTTCACTCATTACTAGCCAACAATATGTTTGAATCACGGTCGGTTTTAATAAGTAATGTTTTTAGGATATCAAAAGCGGACTTAAAAATGAGTATCAATTTATGTCTTGTAGGTGCAGTCGGTTTACAACAACCAGACTTAGTATGGTACAATTAACCTACTGCGTCAATGTCTTGATGTATTATAGGGTAACAGGAAACAAAATCAAGTCATTTAAGAGAGTGGCGCACTTTGTTACCAGGTATGCTGAGACCTGGGAAATAAATCACATTTTTGATGGTTAACGTTCAATGGTCAAGGGTCTTATCGACTACCTTTTAAGTGAAATGGTCAGGGTGTGTGGGATATATCTATACTGAGTTAGTCAATAGGTAACCGTAACCATGTTGCCCACCAAAACAAAGAGACCCAATGGCATTTCAGATACCGACATCACTCTCAATAAAACGTGTCGTACAGGCATGCTACTCAAATAGTTAGAATTCAGTATGGCCCAGTTAACCCTCCATAATTATAAGTAACTGCTGTACCAGCTGATGTAATCCTCTATAGGTATCTGTCAGACAAGCTTAGAGCTACAGTCGCGCCAGAACTCATCAAATTATATATGATATCTGCCAAAGGATAAAAGATATGTTCCTTTATTCTGTGTGATATATAAATATAGATAAAAAAATCTTCTCTCATTAAACGTGATCTTGTCAACTTATTAATCAACTTATTGGTTACACAGTAAAACTTAAACCGACAGCAACCGATTATTAACGATTGTAGAAAGACACACATGTGAATGACATCTTTTAATGCAAATCAAGTTAAATTCAGTAGGGCCAAACAATAAATGTATACAGCTGTTTTGTCCTTCGAAGGTTTGTCATTGATGCTAAGGGCCTAAATATTTAAGTCTTGGAGGCGAAAGAGGAAATCCAGTGATTGAAAGAAAAGTCAAATTGTAGATGAAGAGGAATTGTAGACCTACAATTAAATAAAATTAGTAGTTTTCATATATCGGATCATTTTAGAACAGCGTGCATGTGTATAATCTGAACCGTAACACTAATCGAATGAATTAATATGTGGCGTGCAGGCTACGGCTGACCGCGGGACTTAAAAAGTCCAATCAACAGTTTCTACCACCTGCTATCTCAAATATTTTACAAAGGACACACAAGTGAAGAACACCTTTTAAAGCCTGAATGAATTTTCACGTTGGAAGTGACATTCGTCTCCGATATGAGAATTACGTAATAGTGTTACAACGCTCTTCTCTCTCTCTCTGCATGGGCTTTCAGCGTCGAATTTGATAGATTGTATCGAGCTTGTGTAATGCAATTTACATAATTTCCCAGAAATGTTGAGGTCTATTTTTCATTAAAAATGCAGGGTTTCTGTTGTGTAGACAGCAGGGATTTCGTTTTGAGGGTAACGGGGGTTTGTGTTGTTTGGGAAGCAGGGTTTATGTTGTGCGAGTAGGAGGTTTGAGTTACGTAGGTAACGGGGTTTGTGTCGTTTGGGAAGCAGGGTTTGTGTGAGTAGGAGGCCTGTGTTTTGTATTACACGAGAAAATACCCAGTTTTATTATAAAAATAAAAAAAAATGCATAACTGTAAGATGTAAGAAGTGTTCTTCTCTAAATGTTAAAACACATACGGGTCACATGATGATATTAAAACACATGCGGGTCACATGATGTTAAAACACATACAGGTCACATGATGATGTTTCGACATATACAGGTTACATGATGATGTTACAACACATACGGATCACATGATGACGATGTTACAGCACGTACAGGTCACATCATGGATGACGATATGACAAGACATACAGGTCACGTGATAACGATTTTAAAACCATGAGAGCGATACGACAAACGTTGCCTCAATTCATTGTTAATGACAAAGACAAACTTTATAGTCACAAATCCATAGATTAACTGAACCAGGAAACATGTTTAAATTGTAGCAGGTGCACACTGCTTGTGTCAGGTGATTAACGGTTGTTTTGTGTGTAAATTTGAGTGAGTAAAGTTAGAGGACAGCTATTCATTATGTTTCCAGCCCTACTTGTGTCGGATTACATTGGGTAACAGCTGGGGCATGTGTCCTTTATATGAAACGTTCCAGTCAAATTAACTCAAGCAAATTCCTATCAATTTTATATTTCTTTGCAAATATTTTTGTAAGCTTTTTCATTGGATTAGTTAACATTCCTGTTGAAAAATAGACCCAGGCTACGAACATTTTTGTAACCCGGTTGTTGAAATACATATCAGGATGCCAACGGAGTCAATCCGTTTTGACAAAAAGAAGGAATTCAGTCTTATTAACGATTAAAAATGATCCCCATTTCCTGGCCCAAATTGAAATTTTTCTTCGGGTCATTATTCTGATAACTAGCAGCCTCTAGTCTGTTTCTCTCAATCAGACCATGTAGGGAAGTACCGTCAGCAAATACTTTCACATTAGAGACGAATTCGTCATTAACATCATTAATTTGTGATAAAAACAAGTATGGGCTTTAAATTGATCCTTTGGGTTTCCCGTCTGAAACGTTACGCAAGATGAAAACCACTTCAACATGTTAGTAAAGTCATAATCTTTTTTTCAACTTGTAAATCATATCATTATGTCTAGTCCTATGAAATGCCTTAATTATCACAAAATAACATTTTTGCTCTTTACCTTTGTCAAAATGTTGAACAATTTCATTTGAATATTTGATAGACAGTGGAATACCGGATAGATTTTTAGAAGTTATTTATTGTAACTCGAGGGACAGGTAAATTTATATTTTCAAAAACATTTTTTGGTTAAATGTTTTTTCAAACTTCTTTTTATACACAGGTATAACATTTTTTCAAGGAGGTAGGGAATTTTCTTGAAAAGAATCATTTATCAAAGATGTGACTTAAGAGTGGTTTCACAAGAGATTGTGCTTCGCCTTTAATGGTAAATCTTAGATGTGAAGAAATAATGATTAGAAGATTCAGCTTTGTCTATGAAATGTATTTTTAGATCACTATTTATTACCAAAGGAGAGTCGGTTTCAGATTTGTCTTTGAAATCTATAACTTGTTTTGCAAGTATTTTGTTTCGCCTCTGGGATTAAGATAATTACTTGGTCTCGAGTAGATCTAAATTTTGCTTCAGGAATCCGCAGTATTATTTTATTTGGCTTTAGAATGCTGACGTATACTGTCGTAGTTTCAGTCTTATTTCATTTGTTATCCAAATTTTATCATTAGGTCCTATTGTTACTGTTAATAGAAGATATCGACAGCAGTTAATATTATGTTTATAAGGATATGACTGATATTGCCAATAACCCCTTGTAATTGCAGATCCCAATCATCTGAACTAGTGAAATAATTTATTGCGTCAAAAATATGTTAGTAAGGATAGAACAAGTTATTTGGAAATGAAACACTGTTTTATTATAAGCATGTTTTTGAGGGGTTAAACATTGAAGTCAGCGCTAACAAGACAGTATTCACTACAGGAAGGAGTGAGAACAGCGATATCATTAACAATGGTTACATTGTAAGTAGTTAGGATATTGAGTGACCTTGAAGACTTGTGAGTGTCCGGTTGGTTCAGTGATGGAATGTTGTCCAAATTTAGATAAAACCCTGTAAACTTAGAATTGGTATTAAGATTTAACAGGTCTTTATCCCAACCAGAATTACTTTTCTCTGATAATCAACATCAACAGGGTTATTTTCAAGTTTAGCCCAATGACTAACCAGGATTGGAGGCATATAGATACAACCCTAACAATGAGCGAATTTTGTGTGGGTTACTTTGACCCTTAGAAGTTCGATGTCATCAAACTCAAGATAGAGTCTAAACTTAATAATAAGATTGTTTTGATATAAATAAGTAAACCAAAACTAGATCTACATTACCTGAAATATTTCCGTACATTTCTAGTGATATTATCAGTAATAGAATTATCAAGATGGGTTTAAGAAACACATAGATGTCGTAATTAGAATATTCAGCAACAAAAAATGTGTTTTATTTCTTATGAAACTCTTATTCAAATGACATACAGAGATATTGTCAATAAGAATATCTATACATTATATCATTATTTGACCCCGGATTTTGGTCAATATCACCGAATAAACTTGATACCAAGACGTGTAGTAGATAAAACTTTATGGGGATTGATTTCAGAAAATCACCAACGTCACCTGAATAATATATAACCATTCATCGGATAGTTTACCTTTGATCGTTGATAAAGAGCAGCGACTGTCCCTAACAGTCGTGTGGAAAGAAACATGACTTAGTTAACGGAAGACGGACTTGCACATTATCAGAAGGAACCTCGCTATTACCAGGACGGAACTAAGTATTAAAAACAGGAAAGACCAAGCTACATTAGCTGACGTAGTCTCGCACAGGTCAGACGCCACCCTTCCATGATTAAAAAAAAGAAAAATACGTATTGACATAAAACAAAGTAAATTACATAAATGACTATTAGTTGTATATTACTTACAAAAAAAGTAAATCTGCTCAACATATGAGGTACATAAATATGAAAAAAATGCAATATCATTCATAGTAAGAGAAATATTTTACCACAGTGGGTCAATATTACGTTTCATCTTACATCCAAATAACTTAAACAGTAACATGTAAGGAATATTTACAACAGAAACTTCATACAACATACCCCTATATTAACAGTAAGATTGTGTTGGGATCTTAATTCTTTTACAAAGGTACGTATTTTATTTCATTTTATCAGACATGCGGGATGATGATGTCATCATGTTCTGACCACCACAACCATGCACTGTAGTTAATAATGCTGTTTCTCGTGTATATAGATGTATATCGATAACAGTTTAGAAGTGCCTTATGAATACACATAAAGAAGAGATAAATACAAGAAAGTACATCATAGGAAGGTACAGACAAAATAAAAATGATCACCAACCGTCACTTAATTTTAGAAAAGTGTCAGCAACCGAATACACAAACATAATGTAAATTTATGTAAATTTATGTAAATTTAGAAGAATCAAATAGATAGTATATATACACTTAGTAATAAAGCTAATTATCTAGATTTGTAAATTGTATAACCATTCAGGATGAAAAGGATAAAAGGATTAACATAACATTTCATATATCATTCAGTGGAATAAAATATATGTAAACATACAGAACATTTATAAAAATATGTGACTCGTAGAGTTTAACATATAGCAGATGGTATGTTTCGGAGTTTCCCAGTCGAGGTATAAAGTCGGAGTACGCGGTATCAGGTAGGAGCTGGCGGTAACAGAGACAGGTGACCGAGATGTAAGATCGTAGTAATTGTCAAGTCCACATAGTGTAAAGGAGGCCTTACCATCAGTTCTATTTCGCACTATAAGTTTACCAGTTCCAACTGCTTGTAGATATCTGGCTTCAATGCATATTCATTGGTACCAGGGAGACTTGCTACACGTTACGTCAGCAAAGGTCCTGGAGTTGAGGGAATGACGTACACTTCAGCTTAAAATGTCTCACTACTGTGTCGGGGATTCGGGGCCGACCATACGAGCTACTATTGACTACGGGTGTAATCATTATCCTCAGATGGTTATCACTGACATAAACAAATCATAAGTGCAATAGTATTTTTATCCTCATGTTCAGAAATTGAACATGTATAATGATTGATTGTTTTAGTTTCATATTGGGTGCGTGACTGAGAGATGAATTAACATAGAGAAAACAAGACAGCGATGAGAGAGAGAGAGAGAAGAGAGGGAGGGAGAGAGAGGGAGAAAATGAGAGAGAGAGAGAGAGAGAGAGAGAGAGAGAGAGAGAGAGAGAGAGAGAGAGAGAGAGAGAGAGAGAGAGAGAGAGAGGGGGAGAGAGAGAGAGAGAGAGAGAGAGAGAGAGAGAGAGAGAGAGAGAGAGAGAGAGAGAGAGAGAGAGAGAGAGAAGAGAGAGAGAGAGAGAGAGAGAGAAAATGAGAGAGAGAGAGAGAGAGAGAGAGAGAGAGAGAGAGAGAGAGGAGAGAGAGAGAGAGAGAGAAGAGAGAGAGAGAGAAGAGAGAGAGAGAGAGAGAGAGAGAGAGAGAGAGAGTGAGAGAGAGAGAGAGTGAGAGAGAGAGAGAGAGAGAGAGAGAGAGGGAGAGAGAGAGGGGGAAGAGAGGGAGAGAGAGAAGAGAGAGAGGGAGAGAGAAGAGAGAGAGAGGGAGGGAGAGAGAGAGAGAGGGTGAGAGAGATGTGGGAGATTGACCATCGGACTCCAAAAATATTAATTTACTTCATATACATGTTTACTGTGTTAAAACGCAGATGCTTGTGGACATGAATGTGATTTTATTTATCAAATCTGTAATTTTTTGCGTGCGCTTTAAAATTAAGCACCTGGTCGTCATAAAAAGGAATATTCTCAATTTACTCGTCATATTTAATGATAGTAATAAAACTAATCACATTTATGTCCACAACTACCCGTGTTTTGTAATGGTGAGGTAAAAAATTGTCATAACAGTATCGTTATCATGTACAAACATGGTACTAAGCTGATCCAAATGTTAGCAATGGTTTGTTTTAGAGTTTAACAACTAATTTTCTATGCCAGACTCGTTTTTCTTCTGTAACAAGCGATTTAAAGTTGTAAACATTACAACAGCATGGCATTATGTGTACAAGTCACGTCACTTTGTGGAAATCGATTTTTTTAGGTAGCGGTAAATATAACACAATGATACAGTTTAAATTCAACACTCATATGTGTACGTGTAAACATGATCTCGATTTACATCACGTGATAGGTGTCGCGGGTGTATAGAAGGCGTAAACCCGGATGCCTTTCCAGTTCAGTGCAGTTTGAGTATAACTAACCATTACAACGATGCGGTCTCATGCATGGTTCGCCCTTGTTCTAGTGGCTGAACTTTTGAGTACAGTTACAGGACAAATACCTAACTGCACACTGGATATACCTCGTACACTGGACACCGAACATGATCCTACATCAGACCCTGGTCTTATAAAAGACCCAAAACATGTCCTTTCAGTTGTCCCTGGACATGGCCCTACAGAAGACTCCAATCATTATAGTAGCCTGGGACCCAGTGTAGTGAGCATTGATTGTCTTATTACTGAAAACAAGATATGGAACTTCTCCTATGTGAAGGAATGGATGTCAAACAACAGTTTTGGTCCAGTGCACGTGTCCATCACGTGTCAGTCAGGAGGGTGCGTACATTTGAGACGTCCGATCAAAGCCAATAATCTCGAAACACTCCATATCAAGTCATGCCACATCACTGGTACGGATGATACAGACTTTTCTGTACAAACTTCTCGAGAGAACTACACCATCCGGCACCTGACAATAGAGGACTCCAATGTTGTTATATTATTGTCTGAATTACGGGCATTTTACATGGACAACTATAAGCAAAACCAAGACGTGTACCCTTGTGGTTATCCGCCAAGTCTGGAGCGACTCACATACAGAAACACCAGTCAAACCACCTTACCGGATATCGACATACCAGATAGCGAATTACTCGAACTCGAAAAGACAATCGAACGGTACAACATGGACAAGCAGCAATGTATTAACCCGAACCTAAAGTATCTGGAGTTTACTCAGAATTATATTATCAGCGACCATAAACTCTACGAACAATTCCTTCATAAGTATATATATCCGCGTCTCAAAGTCATGAACATTTCCCACCTCTTACTGAGCCGTGCTCCTGATCAACTTTCAAAATTCCGGTGGGATATTGATTTTCCCGAGTTGGAGCTGATAGATCTGTCTCACAACAGAATAACGACTATCGACTTCACTTACCCTCCTCCGAAAAGGAAGCATTTGACCGTTGACCTATCTTATAATCAAATATCCGTCTTACGTCAACCAAGCATACAGAATCTACGGAACTTTTATCCTGGTGTAGTCAACCTCAGAGGAAACCAGTGGGTGTGTAACTGTTCTCAACAAGACTTTGTCCAGTTTCTCCAGGAGGAAGAGGGTCCAATCATCGACGAATACGCCTATCTCGGCGAGGCAAGGTGCAGCCGACCTTTGTCTAGACTGGGACAATACATAAAGAACGTTGAAGACTTGTGCGGTCCAAGATCGGACACACAGCTATCTAATCTCGTGCTTTATGTTTGCTTGCCACCTCTTATTCTCTGCTTCTTCGTTATCATTGTTCTCGTCAGATTTAGGAGAGAAATTCGTGTTCTTGTATTTACAAGATTCACGTCGGTTAGCACGTGTCTGTTTGTTCCTGTACCAACTTCGTCCAAGAGTGTGGAGAAGGACTTCGACGCCTTTGTGTCCTATAGTTCACTGGACGAGACGTGGGTTTACGATTTGTGTCGTCGACTTGAGGAATCCGTCCACAAGTTTCGATTGTGTCTCCACCATAAACATTTTATTCCCGGCGCCTGCATTTCTGACAACATAATAGATAGTGTGGAGCGAAGTAGACACACGATTATGGTACTTTCTCCTAACTTCCTAAAGAGTGAATGGTGCATTTTAGAATTTCGGAAAGCCTTCCATCAAAGTTTGGTTGAGAATGAGCGCCATTTAGTAGTGGTAATGCTCGAGGGATTTGACGAATCATGTGTACATGCCGACTTGAAACATTTTCTTAAGACATATACGTACCTCAAGACGTCAGACTTTTTCTTTTGGGACAAACTTGTGTACGCGCTGTCAAAGAATTGGATTGATCACCGGAAAAAGAATCCCTCCGGTTCTGGTGGCGATAAAAATGCGTCTGAAGCGCTTCTGAGTGTCGCAAAGTCAGAATAGACTTTCAATTAGTATCGTTCATATACCGTCTCCAGTCCACTCTCTGTCGTTTGTGTAACACGCTGTCTCCTGTCCATATACTGTACATATCGTCTCTATTTCACTTCCGGCTGTTCATACTGACGGGGTGAGATACTATCTCCCTCTCCGTATACTGTACATATCGTCTCTATTTCACTTCCGGCTGTTCATACTGACGGGGTAAGATACTGTCTGCCTCTCCGTATACTGTACATATCGTCTCTATTTCACTTCCGGCTGTTCATACTGACGGGGTAAGATACTATCTCCCTCTCCGTATATTGTACATATCGTCTCTATTTCACTTCCTGCTGTTCATACTGACGGGGTAAGATACTGTCTGCCTCTCCGTATACTGTACATATTGTATTTAGTCCACTTCTAATTATTTTAAATTGCAAATTGTCTTCGATACGTTTTAATGTGCCAGAAGTTATGATGTAAATCTTTGTAACGTTGATGAATTCAGTGTTAACACTGTGATGTAAAGATATTGAAACATGTTTTCATCAACCCACTTATGGATTTGATATACAATGTTCAAAAGTACAAAAAAACTATGAAGTTAGAAAGTCTTATCGCAGTGATGTACATCAAGGACGTATATACATAGATCTATAGTTTGCTATGTACTTGCATTAAGAGAAAAAAGAGGGAAAATGGGAAGGGAGGAGAGAAAGAGGTCATCGTAGCTATTAAAAGAAATATATAAAACTTTTGAAAGTTTTCTTGATGTCGGCTTAGTGTGTCATTTGTATGGTATGCAAAATAAATGTCTTGTTAATTAAGCTCTGTTGTTTCTCTGTTCGTATCCAGAAAGTGCTTTAAAAAAACAATATAGTTATGAACCTCTTACTTAAACTTACACCATTACCAGAATAACGACATCTCGAAATTACGACACCGTTATCATGACTAAGACATATTTATCCGATATCTATATTACGACACCGTTATCATGATTAAGACATATTTATCCTATATCTATATTAAGACACCGTTATCATGATTAAGACATATTTATCCGATATCTATATTACGACACCGTTATCATAATTAAGACATATTTATCCTATATCTATATTAAGACACCGTTATCATAATTAAGACATATTTATCCTATATCTATATTACGACACCGTTATCATAATTAAGACATATTTATCCTACATCTATATTACGACACCGTTATCATAATTAAGACATATTTATCCTATATCTATATTAAGACACCGTTTTCATGACTAAGACATATTTATCCGATATCTATATTACGACACCGTTATCATGATTAAGACATATTTATCCTATATCTATATTACGACACCGTTATCATGACTAAGACATATTTATCCTATATCTATATTACGACAGCGTTATCATGATTAAGACATATTTATCTATCTCATCTCACTTTGATAACAAACATCTACACGCCGAGTCGAAGCTGCGGTACATTTCAGTCGTTACATTTCTAACGGGAACCCCTAACCCTTGGGTACAAACTACTCCTGTGTAACCTAGCTGAAGAATAGCAAAAATCATTGATTGAAGTTAATTATTTAGCAAACATATACAGTATCGACCATACATATTATAATTGTTATCATAACTTAGGTATTGTGCGAAAAGGTGTTAAGACACCGGTGTCATATTTTTTATGATAACCACTACATCTGCTCAACTATTTCCCGAAACACTGTAGCTCACTCAACAATAAAATCTTATTCTTGTTTCCGGGAATTTCCGGATATAAGGCAAAGCTGGCGTAATATTTTACACTGAACATGCCGGTTGGATAAAATTACTCCATTGTTATACAAAACAGATACCGGATCCAAGACTGGCAGTAAACAAGCAAAATAGCGACAAAATTCGGGCGTGTTGATCCTTATTATGTTTAATCGATAAACGTCAACCTAGCGTGATAAACATGACGTCAGTGCGATATATATAGGTTTGTGAGAAAAATTGGTTTCATTTATAAGATGAAATGTCACTTTTTTTGTTATTTTGTTTTTGTTTCACAATTAACGTTATAGAATAAATATTAAAGCAAAATAGCATTGAAATTAAGATAACAACATGTCAAAAAGTAGGAACATATTTTGATATGATTATAGTCACCAATGATATGTGTCACTTCATGTTTGATATAATTTGTCTGCTTCGTCTGCTAAAGAGAAAATCTCCCTAGCGGAACTGTATCGTGACATTAAAAGCTGTATTATACCTACCAGATGATGCAGTTGCTAAATTTAGATCGGACTTACAAAAGAAGCAGAAAGAAAATACATTGTTTTGTATAAACGTTTTTGTATATCTTAAGCTAAGAGCGACTTTCATGTGTTTCTAAATGTAATCAGAATACGTGTAATTTTAAATTTCAATGAATCACCTGTGTTTCTCACTGTTCTGCAAGTTATAAATATGAAAATATTTTATCGGTATCGTATTTGATCATAACTTCTCTGTGACCTTGTAAGTAGGCAAAAGCTACTCGTTTGAATTGACGGCCTTATCTTATTTATGTTAACAGTAAAATAAGTGTCCTTTACAGATTTTTTCTTAGTTTACTCTGTGACCTGAAGAGTGAGGCAAGAACAAGAAAATATCAACATGTCAACATAACGAATAACAAAACTCATACTCCTGAAAAGTACAAGAATAAGACCAGGTTTGCCGTCTTCTGCTTATTTGACCGACACCCGTCGTTTAAATCTTGGTCAATATAGCGGTGTTTAACGTCATAATTTCAATTGAGAACAAGGTATACAACAATGGAACCACTAGACATAACGAAATATATCCAACCTCATATTGCACAAGGAAATCGAATTCCTTAATACAGAATGAGGTCATTGTCACAACCATAATAAATCTTACCCTATAATCTTCATAACCTGCAACTCTCTGTTTTGTGAGTTTATCTGTCAGCTGTCGACTTCTGGCATGGAAATCCTGATATTGGAGACAAGTTGTTGAATACCGAATCATCAGCGACACATTAACATAGGATAGCAGGGAGGTTATCTGCAAAAAAAAATGGTGGAAAACCCTCTCTTTTGGTTTTTCTGTAGAAAAAGATCGAAGAAAGCGGTTGATGAAGATGGATTTGTCGTTTCCTTAATATACCATTCTGGTGGCTATTATTTTTTAAAGACATGACATTATCAATAAATCCAAATGTGGAAGACTGAAAGTTTGATGTATCAAATGTCTCTATTTTAGTGACACAGTCTCTGTCAATAATGTTTATCAAAACTTCTATCAATGTTCATGACAACTACATGCACCATTGGCTTAAAAGCGGGCACATCCAATCAATTTTAACGAATTTTCAACCTTTAGGGTCTAACATTCAACTCTAAACAGTGGCAAGGTAAATATCGTTCATTTTACTTTTTCTCTTTCCAAAATCTGTCAGGCTTTGACTTAAAATACAATTTCCACCAGATATTCTGCTTCTAACAATTTTTGGTTTACCGGAAAAGTCTTTTACAAGTTTTAACAAATGCTACGTTTGTGACCTCTAATATAGTTCAAGGTCATTTCATTTTGCAAACTTTGTCAGGCTTCATCTCAGAGATCTTCCTGCCAACTATCGTGCTTCCAGATATTTTGCTTAATCAGGAGAAATTGTTTTAAGCTTTAACAAATTCTACCCCTGTGACATTGAATATGGGTAAAGGTCACTTCTTTTCCCAAACGTTGTCATGGTTCACATTGAGAACAGCAAAATATCATGCTTCTGTGACTTTGGTTAGTCAGAGGTTGTTTTAAGGGTTCAACAAATTTGACACCTGTGATCTTGAATATGGATCAAGGTCACTTTTTTCAGTCAAAACCCATGCTTCTGCACCTGTTGACTAAGCAACATATTTCACCCCAATGACCATGTTTGTATTTCAAGATCATTTCCTGCAGCAAACTTTGCTGTGCTTCATTCCAGAGACCTACCAGCCAAATAACATGATTTTCAGGCTTTTGTTTAAAAGAAGAAGTCTTTTAACAGATTTTGACAAATCAGACCCCTGTGGCCTTGAATATGGTTCATGTTCATTTCTTTAGAAAACTTTCTTAGGGCCTCATACAAGCCAAATAGCAGGCTTCTAGGCCTTTTGGTTAATCAGAAGAAATTGTGTAAACGTTTCCACAAATTTGACCCCCTTGCATACAGGTCAAGGTAAATTCTTTTAGCAAACTTTGTCAGACATCATCTCAGAGACCTACCATATCATGCTTCCCAGGAGATTTTGGATTCATACCATCAACCTACCAGTCAAATATCATGACATTTTGCCAGTTGGTTATTGAGAAGAAGTCGTTCAAACAGAAAAACCAGAGAGACAACCGCCCTGGTGAGCTAAAAAAAATTAAGAAAAACTAAAACCAAAAATATTTCAGACTTGTAATCATGTTTATTGTGATTCCAACATGTCAGTCTGTTTATATCTGTACAATTTTACAAGTACGGTAACAAGTTTTGAAGACTGGGATCACGTTTTGAGTATGTATTCCATACATACTGTACATACCTCTCAGGTACACCAGAATATCTCACATCATGTTATGATATAATAAGAAAACAATATACAGCATCCCTATATGTAACTGATAATGGGAATACCAGACACAAAACTAACAGTTTAATTAGTATGTAAACTGAAAATTATTCACAGAATGAAGTTATACATATCTGTTAGTACTCTGTTGGTCTATAGCCAAGCAAATGATGTTACATATCATATCAACCAAGTATTTCATAATGATGATGTATAACAGACATATGTTACTTATCTGGAGCTGATGAAGATTGGTCAGATTTTAAAAGTCATGTCTGAAGTGATCTAGAATGATACTGACAGTCTTCACACAAGCATGAACTCATCAAACAATATGTCTGTCACTTTTAACAAACAAATCAAATTTCAAATGTTGACACCACATAAAATTGATCACACAGGATATCCCTTGGATGGTGATGATAACTGGAATCTCAGTTGTTATGATTAACTATAATCCAATGGTGACCCATTAACTTTGTTGACAAACTGTGGGTGCACATTAACCAAAAACTGTGTTAACTATCTGTCACAGCAAGTTAACCAGTTACAATGTGAACTGTGTGTTAACTACCTCTTGCAGTATGTTAACCAGTAAAAATGTGATTGTGTGTTAACTGTCACAACATGTAACTAGTTACAATGTGAATTGTGTGTTAACTATCTGTCACAGCAAGTTAACAAGTAACAATGTGATTGTGTGTTAACTGTCACTACATGTAACTAGTTACAATGTGAATTGTGTGTTAACTAAATGTCACAACATTTTAACCAGTTACGATGTGAAGTGTGTGTTAACTATCTGTCACAGCAAGTTAACAAGTAACAATGTGATTGTGTGTTAACTGTCACAACATGTAACTAGTTACAATGTGAATTGTGTGTTAACTAAATGTCACAACATTTTAACCAGTTATGATGTGAACTGTGTGTTAACCAAATATCACAGCAAGTTGACCAATAATTATGTTTGATCATATCTTATAACAATTATCTGTTGTATTACACAAGTTATGGATCCCATTAACAGGAAGAGAGCACTTACAATGAAGACATCAATCCCCTAACCTTTGGTATTAGTATATATATATATAGTAGATGGCACAACAGATATGTCTAAAACTTTCATATAAACATACAAACACTGTTTCATCCATGTCACACACAATCTATCACATACTTAAGG